CCGAGCCTGGGTCCCTCCTCCTTCTCTTCACGAACACAACCCGCCAGTTTGCCGACATACATGGTGGTGGCAGCGTGACTGCGGTGCCGCGTGTCTCGTCGTCCTTGCCTCTTTTACTCCCGGGTCTGCCGTTCCACGCAGCGACGGAGGGGCGAGGCCAGTTGGCCGCGTAAGACGGCGGTAGGAATGCGGTGGGCCTCCACGACGCCCCCACGAATCACTTTCGGACACCGGAGCGTTTGCACGCACGATGGCAGGCGACGTGGGTCCGGAGGACCTGTAGGGCAAGGGCGGCTGGCCGGCCGGCGCTCACGGCGGGGGCCAGGCAGGTGCCCGGCGCCCCGCGGTTGCGGGTGAGCGTTGGGGCTGGCGTCCAGGGCCCGCGCAGGGGTGCGTGCTGGCAAAGGGGATTTGCCAGTTGGCTGGGTGAAATTGAATCATGAGAGGCGCCGCGGGAGAAAACGGGCAGGGGTGGGGCCCGGCGACGCGGAGGGAGGCGGCCGGGGGTGCCATTCCCGCGTGGGAGGGGGGAAGGGTCGACGCTGGGGCGCCGGGGGTGCGAGGGTGGTGCTCGGGAGGCGGTGCCGGGGAGGGAAGGGGGTACGTCGGCAGGGCGTGCGGGACGCCGCACGGCTTCTAGCCGGTCATCGACCGCCACTGCGCCCTTGCGTACGCGTCGACACACACGCAGGCCAAATATATATATCCACACCTCACACGTCTCCCACCGTCATGTTGGTGCACACACCCTCACTCGCACCGATATATATAACCCTACCCCCCCGGACACCCCAACGCATCCGCATACGGATGTCCACAGCCCCAGCAGACAGACACACAGACGCCTGTATGACGACGCAGGCACGTCTACACACCCCTGGGATGACCGGGAGAGCGATGACATCGATCTGGGTTGCACATCCGGACGGCTGCCAAAGCCTCACGTTGCGCGGCGGGTCACGTGATCGGGGGTGTCGCGGAGTGCCAGACTCCCACAGGCAGAGAGCGCGTGGTGCACGGGTCGGAGGGCGGGAGAGGGAGGGCGACAGCGGCCGAGGGCGGTGTTACACCGGGCCGTTCGGCCACGTATGGGCGGACGGCGGCACGCGAAAACGCCTAAGTCCCTTACAGCCCGGGTAGGGGGCGAAGTTGGGTGGCCCACTTTGTATGGGAAAACGGGTGGACGCACGGACCACCCCATACAAAAGTGGTCCCCCACGAATGACTTTCGGACACGGGAGCGTTTGCACGCATGCGACAGGGCCAAGCAGGGCCGGTGGTTCTATGTGGAAGGTGAAAGGCAGCTGATCTCAGCTGCCGGAAGCCAGTCCATACTTCTTCCCTGCCAGGCAGGTTGCCTCTCTGTGACTGGTGGCGCACAGGTCCCTTAGCTGGGCCTCGCTTCAGGAACGGGGGTAATCGCCCACCTCAGCCCGTGGTCTTCTCCTGCGCGGCCGGTGCCTTTCCTGGTCCTAGGTTCTCTTTCTTGCCGGTTGCGCGTCGACTGGAGGTTAGGAGCTTCCATGCATTTCGTATGGTCGCGCCCGTGACCCCTGAGATAGTAACAGTGTGAGTTCGAGTCGCTAGCCAGGTCGGCGCCAGCTTAATCATGCCCGGGAGTGCCCGTTGTTGCTGGGGTGTCTGAAGTCCGGGGGCCGTTCTCGGTCCCCGGCACCGATGGAGTCTGTGGATCGTTGGCCGCTGGCCAGCCTTCTTATACAGATTCCCGGGGGGAGCCGCCCTGCGGGAGCCGCTGTTCGTCAGCGTGTCCGCAGGGTCTGGACCCTCCACCCGAGGGCCGTATGCCGCAGCCTGCCAGCGCCTGCAAAGGCGATTCTGGCGGGGTCACCTGCGTGCGGACCGGTTCCTGGGGGCTACAGTGGGGGCAATTGGATGGTCATCTGTGTGCTCCCGGTACGCCGGGGGTGTCGCTGTGGCCGGACACTTCGTGTGTCCCTTCCAGATGGAAGCCTATGTAACATGCTGCCCCTTCGGGGGCTTTGGGAGGCGTTTCGGGCAGTGCTTTAACAGGTATCTGCCCGGGCGCAGCCTGCAGGAACTAGGTATCTGGTTGATTCTGCCAGTAGTCATATGCTTGTCTCAAAGATTAAGCCATGCATGTCTAAGTGTAAGCAATTTATACTGTGAAACTGCGAATGGCTCATTAAATCAGTTATCGTTTATTTGATAGTACCTTACTACATGGATACCTGTGGTAATTCTAGAGCTAATACATGCTGAAAACCTCGACTTCGGAAGGGGTGTATTTATTAGATAAAAAACCAATGCCCTTCGGGGCTCCTTGGTGAATCATAATAACTTAACGAATCGCATGGCCTTGCGCCGGCGATGGTTCATTCAAATTTCTGCCCTATCAACTTTCGATGGTAGGATAGTGGCCTACCATGGTGGCAACGGGTAACGGGGAATTAGGGTTCGATTCCGGAGAGGGAGCCTGAGAAACGGCTACCACATCCAAGGAAGGCAGCAGGCGCGCAAATTACCCAATCCCGACACGGGGAGGTAGTGACAATAAATACTGATACGGGGCTCTTTTGGGTCTCGTAATTGGAATGAGTACAATTTAAATCCCTTAACGAGGAACAATTGGAGGGCAAGTCTGGTGCCAGCAGCCGCGGTAATTCCAGCTCCAATAGCGTATATTAAAGTTGTTGCAGTTAAAAAGCTCGTAGTTGAACCTTGGGTCTGGCTGGCCGGTCCGCCTCACCGCGAGTACTGGTCCGGCTGGACCTTTCCTTCTGGGGAACCTCATGGCCTTCACTGGCTGTGGGGGAACCAGGACTTTTACTGTGAAAAAATTAGAGTGTTCAAAGCAGGCCTTTGCTCGAATACATTAGCATGGAATAATAGAATAGGACGTGTGGTTCTATTTTGTTGGTTTCTAGGACCGCCGTAATGATTAATAGGGATAGTCGGGGGCGTCAGTATTCAGCTGTCAGAGGTGAAATTCTTGGATTTGCTGAAGACTAACTACTGCGAAAGCATTCGCCAAGGATGTTTTCATTAATCAGGGAACGAAAGTTAGGGGATCGAAGACGATCAGATACCGTCGTAGTCTTAACCATAAACTATGCCGACTAGGGATCGGACGGTGTTTCTATTATGACCCGTTCGGCACCTTACGAGAAATCAAAGTTTTTGGGTTCTGGGGGGAGTATGGTCGCAAGGCTGAAACTTAAAGAAATTGACGGAAGGGCACCACCAGGCGTGGAGCCTGCGGCTTAATTTGACTCAACACGGGGAAACTCACCAGGTCCAGACAAAATAAGGATTGACAGATTGAGAGCTCTTTCTTGATCTTTTGGATGGTGGTGCATGGCCGTTCTTAGTTGGTGGAGTGATTTGTCTGCTTAATTGCGATAACGAACGAGACCTCGGCCCTTAAATAGCCCGGTCCGCATTTGCGGGCCGCTGGCTTCTTAGGGGGACTATCGGCTCAAGCCGATGGAAGTGCGCGGCAATAACAGGTCTGTGATGCCCTTAGATGTTCTGGGCCGCACGCGCGCTACACTGACAGGGCCAGCGAGTACATCACCTTGGCCGAGAGGTCTGGGTAATCTTGTTAAACCCTGTCGTGCTGGGGATAGAGCATTGCAATTATTGCTCTTCAACGAGGAATGCCTAGTAGGCACGAGTCATCAGCTCGTGCCGATTACGTCCCTGCCCTTTGTACACACCGCCCGTCGCTACTACCGATTGAATGGCTCGGTGAGGCCTTCGGACTGGCTCAGGAGGGTTGGCAACGACCCCCCAGAGCCGGAAAGTTGGTCAAACCCGGTCATTTAGAGGAAGTAAAAGTCGTAACAAGGTTTCCGTAGGTGAACCTGCGGAAGGATCATTACCGAGTGCGGGTCCTTTGGGCCCAACCTCCCACCCGTGTCTATTGTACCCTGTTGCTTCGGCGGGCCCGCCGCTTGTCGGCCGCCGGGGGGGCATCTCTGCCCCTCGGGCCCGTGCCCGCCGGAGACACCAACACGAACACTGTCTGAAATCGTGAAGTCTGAGTCGATTGTTTTCAATCAGTTAAAACTTTCAACAATGGATCTCTTGGTTCCGGCATCGATGAAGAACGCAGCGAAATGCGATAACTAATGTGAATTGCAGAATTCAGTGAATCATCGAGTCTTTGAACGCACATTGCGCCCCCTGGTATTCCGGGGGGCATGCCTGTCCGAGCGTCATTGCTGCCCTCAAGCCCGGCTTGTGTGTTGGGTCGCCGTCCCCCTGTCTGGGGGGACGGGCCCGAAAGGCAGCGGCGGCACCGCGTCCGATCCTCGAGCGTATGGGGCTTTGTCACATGCTCTGTAGGATTGGCCGGCGCCTGCCGACAACTCCAACCTTTTTTTCCAGGTTGACCTCGGATCAGGTAGGGATACCCGCTGAACTTAAGCATATCAATAAGCGGAGGAAAAGAAACCAACCGGGATTGCCTCAGTAACGGCGAGTGAAGCGGCAAGAGCTCAAATTTGAAAGCTGGCTCCTTCGGAGTCCGCATTGTAATTTGCAGAGGATGCTTTGGGTGCGGCCCCCGTCTAAGTGCCCTGGAACGGGCCGTCAGAGAGGGTGAGAATCCCGTCTTGGGCGGGGTGTCCGTGCCCGTGTAAAGCTCCTTCGACGAGTCGAGTTGTTTGGGAATGCAGCTCTAAATGGGTGGTAAATTTCATCTAAAGCTAAATACTGGCCGGAGACCGATAGCGCACAAGTAGAGTGATCGAAAGATGAAAAGCACTTTGAAAAGAGAGTTAAACAGCACGTGAAATTGTTGAAAGGGAAGCGCTTGCAACCAGACTCGCCCGCGGGGTTCAGCCGGCATTCGTGCCGGTGTACTTCCCCGTGGGCGGGCCAGCGTCGGTTTGGGCGGCCGGTCAAAGGCCCCTGGAATGTAGTGCCCTCCGGGGCACCTTATAGCCAGGGGTGCAATGCGGCCAGCCTAGACCGAGGAACGCGCTTCGGCTCGGACGCTGGCATAATGGTTGTAA